TAGTTATTTACCCCAGCACACAACACAAGAATGAGGGGGTCACCCAATGAAATTATTAGGCATCAGGTTTCAAACCAAAGCCATGTCTACGCTGTGAGATCGCTGTGAGATGCGTAGCCACATTATGCTGATAGGAGAGAGCTCTCCCGTTAACATAATAAAGCCAGCTCAACGAGTGGCAGTAGCTATGTTGGTGGAAGAGTGTCTCCCGCCGACATAGCGCTGTGCACACGAGCACATATGCCAGCAAAGCTTATGTCGCTCAGGGGGGTGTTTTTTCACACCCCTGAATGACCAAAGTTTTGCTGACATAAGTGGTAATGGTAGACATGGCCTAATATAAGGAAGTGCCTCACACAACACACAGTCAATCTGTGGAACTCACTGCCAGGGGATGTTGTGAAGGCCAAAAGTATAAGTGTGTTCAAAAAAGAATTAGTTAAGTCCATGGCGGAAAGGTCCATCAATGGCTATTAGCCAAGATGATCAGGGAGGCAACCTCATGCTCTGGTGTCCCTAAACCTCTGACTGCCAGAAAGTGGGAGTGGATGACAGGGGATCACTCAAAATTGCCCTGTTCTGTTCATTCCCTCTGGGGCACCTGGAATTGGCCAGTGTTGGAAGACAGGATACTGGGCTAGATGGACCATTGGTCTGACCCAATATGGCCGTTCTTATGTTTTTATGCAGAACATGTCTCTTCAAAAAGGTCTTTCCACCATAAGAATTACCCCGGCAACATCAACATAACGCTCCATCCTATCCCCCACCCATAAACACAGAAATCCCTATCCTAAGCAGGGTTCCTATAACCCTAGAAGGGAGATGAGCCAGAGATCCCATGTAGGGACCTCACTACTGTGTGTGCCTGGTGCTCAGATGCTGTAGTGTATGGCCGCCATATGATAGGGCTGCATATCAGCTGGGCTAAGCCTGGATGTCTTTCTGAGAGAGAGGCTCTGGCTCAGACCGAAGTTATGGGCTTGATGCAGGAATAACGGGATAAATGTCCCTTGCTTGGGCTATTCAGGAGGTCAGATGAGATGATCCTCCTGCTCCCTTAAAAGCCACACTTCTGTGACTAGATAGATAGGGAAGGGGAGTATTTACTGTACTACCAGCCTCACTGCCCACATACCCATAGGCTCCCTGGGTCTCGCATCCAAGCCTGTCCCTTGCAAAGCTGAGATCAGGTGGGATCATAGCACAAGGGAATATGGTTACACACGTCACGCTTTGCTAATACCATCCAGAGACACATGGTGAGAAGGTCCCCAGAGCAATGACAATATTAGGGGATCCCTAGCACGCGGCAGCTTGTACAGTGGTCGCAGCCCCAGCAATCTAGTGCCCTCTCAGTGTCCGTAGCTGTGCGTACCCATGAATCTAGCCTCAGAACTTTACCCTGGAGAGAGAACCAAAGGAACAGAAGCGTGTCTTGCCAATTTGCAAGTGCTCACATAAAAGGCAACGGAATCCCATCGGGTGTAGCTTGGTGTCTCCTGGGGTTTAATAAGGATGAATTAAATACTCCTGCATTGCGAGGCCTGGCAGATCGGTGATTCACACAGATTCAGCGTGACCAGAGGAACCTCCAAGGGAGAGATACATGACTGCTGCAGCCAGGTGAGATCGATGGATGGGGTGAGAGTTTTGCTTCTGAATGGGATCAGGAGCCTTTCCTTAGATTGTCAGTGTCATGGGACCATCTTCGTGTTCTAGAATAAAGGAGCGGCCATAATGGGTCAGACCAATGGTCCATCTAGCCCAATGTCCTGTCTTCCCACAGTGGCCAGTGCATCTATATCGAGCCTACCACGATGGTGCCCTGATCCATGACATGACTGAGACTCCTAGACACTAAGATAATATAGATTATACATAATAAAAATATACTAATCTGCTGTGCCTTGAAAGCAAAGTTTGTGCCACTGACCCACACGTGGCAGGATTCACAGCTCTCTTTGAACATAAGCCTGTATCTTGAAGAACTCGTCTCGTTTTCATTGTTAATGTGATTTCTGCTCTGAGAAGCGAGTAGGGGAAAACAGCCCCTTTTTAGTCATTGCTCTGTTCTCTGTGTGGATGGTGCCACCTCTGCTCCTGTGGGGTGACGCCCACCTCTGTGCAGAGGGCCAGCACAAAGTCTAGGTACATGTGTAACACCGACAGACCCCAGTCGTCAGTGGGCAGGATCAAACCAGGGACCTCTGGAGTTTAGCGCATGAGCTAAAAGCCACCTGCCTGTTAGCTAAGGCTGTAGACCAGACTGGTTTTATCTCTTTCTAAGTGGTCTCGGTGCCATCAGATGGGACAGAACACCACACCCAGGAGGCGTGTGGGTTACACTTAGAATCATAGAATCATAGATTATTAGGGTTGGAAGGGACCTCTGGAGATCATCTAGTCCAACCCCCTGCTCAAAGCAGGATCAATCCCCAACTGGCCCCCTCAAGGATTGAACTCACAACCCTGGGTTTAGCAGGCCAAAGCTCAAACCACTGAGCTATCCCTCCCCCCCCTTGCATCTAGTCTGAATTCCTGCATAGCACCAGTCAGATAATTTTAAAATGGAGCTTACATTTTCGGAAGGCATCCAATCTTCATTTTAAAATTCCAGTGATGTGTTCCAATGGTGAGTTACCCTCGGATAGAAACGTGGGCCTGATTTCCAGTCAGAATTTATCTAGCTTCCGCTGCTGCCACTGGATCTTATCTGCTAGATCAAACAGCCCTTCTACTACTTGAAAACGTCTTCCCCCATTAGTGCTTATAGACCATCGTGGCACTTCTTAACCTTTTCTTGCATGAGCTAAACAGACTGAATTCCTTCGGAGAGAGACACGGTGGGAGAGGGAATATCTTTATTGGACCAATTTCTGTTGATGGTGAGCTTAATCCCATAAGTTTCTCACTGCAAGGCAGGCTTCCCACTCCCCAAATCATTTTTGTGGCTTTTCTCTGAACCCTCTCCAATTTTTCAACGTGCTTTTCAAAATGTGGCTGCCAGAACCGCACACAGTCTTCTGGTGTCAGTCTCAGCAATACCAACCACAGAGGTAAAATCAACTCCCTACTCCTACTCCGTAGTCCAGTTTCTCTACCTACAAGGATCATGTCAGCCGCCACAGCATTGCACCAGAAGTTCGTGTTCAGTTGATGATCCACCACGCCCCTACGTCCTTTCAGAGTCGCTACCTTCCACAATACAGTCTCCCATCCCATAAGCGTGAGCTATCGGCTTTTTCCTTAGATACCTGACCTCACATTTGGCTGTATGAATATGCAAGTGTTTATGCTCCACTTACTAGTTGATCCAGATCACGCCATATCAGTGACCTGTTCACATCATTATTTACCACCCAACCAATCTTTGCGTCATCAGCACGCTTTTCTTCTAGATCACTGATAAAAATGTATGGGGCTTGTGCTGCACTGGGGTGAATTTCCCTCCATGCCTTTAACCTAGAGTTGGTTGAAAATTTTTCGCCAAAGCAGTTTTCTATCTGAAAATGCCATTTTTGACAAAACTGATTTTTTTGGTGTGAAATCATATCAGTTTTGGTGATGATAGTGATCGCTTGCTCTCCATGTCCACTGAGGGTAGGACATAGCTGGCTTCGTTTGCAACAAGGGAGATTTAGGTTAGATATTAGGAAAAACTTTCTAACTATAGCTACAGCTCAATTCTGGAATAGATTACCTAAGGAGGTTGTAGAATCCCCATCACTGGAGGTTTTTAAGAACAGGTTACACAAACACCTATCAGGGATGGTCTAGGATTACTTGGTCCTGACTCAGTGGCGGGGTGGAATGGCTGAGATGACCTCTTCAGGTACCTTCCAGCCCTACATTTCTATTATGTCTGTGAAATTTTGTTGAGAAAAAAATTGAGGAAAAATGTTTTTAAAATATGAAAACACTTGGACCCTTTTGGAATGAAGCATTTCAATTTTTCATTTCAGAACAACTTTTCTTTCCAAAATGTACTTTAGTTTATATAAAAGTCATTTTAAAATTGAAAGGCTGTTTGCCAGAAGCTAGGAATGACCGACAGGGGATGGATCACTTGATGATTCCCTGTTCTGTTCATTCCCTCTGGGGCACCTGGCATTGGCCACTGTCGGAAGACAGGAGACTGGGCTAGATGGACCTTGCTCTGACTCAGTATGACCGTTCTTTTGGGTAAAAAATGTAAATGCAACATTTCAAATTTAAAGAAATGAAACATTTTGATTGGCCTACAATGAATTTATTTTTAAAATTGCATTTCACAAGAAACATTTAAAATTTTGGCTTTTTGTCTTGATTTGGGACCAAAACAAACTCCAAATCTCAAACTTTGTGCCGGGATGGACAATCTGTTTTCCCACCAGTTCTGTTTGAAACATTTCGTGACATTTAAACAATGATTAAATGTCTTTTCTCTTTTTATTCATAGAAGACAAACCTCTTCGAAATGGCCTTGGCTCCTTCCAACCACACCAGCTCCAGCTCATCGTCTTTCAGCCTTATGGGCATCCCAGGGCTGGAAGCTTCCCATGTCTGGATGGGAATCCCTTTCTGTTCAATGTACATCATTGCGCTGCTAGGAAACAGCATAATTCTGATTATTGTCAGGTTAGATCAGACCCTCCATGAACCCATGTACTATTTCCTGTGCATGCTCGCGGCCATCGATTTAGTCATGACTACTTCCATCGTTCCCAAGATGCTCGGCATATTCTGGCTGAACTCGATGGAGATTGCTTTCGATGCCTGTTTCACGCAGATGTTCTTCGTTCATTCCATCACAGCTGCGGAATCAGGGGTGCTCTTGGCAATGGCCTTTGACAGATATGTCGCCATCTGTTACCCTCTGAGGTACCAGGCCATCTTAACGCGCCAAAAGGTGACACAGATAGGCCTGGCCATTCTGCTGAGAGCTGGCCTTGTCATGACTCCGGTCACCTGGATGATGAAGCGCTTACCCTACTGCGGCTCCAACGTGATTGCCCATTCGTACTGCGAGCACATGGCTGTGGTGAAGCTGGCCTGCGCAGATCCCCGAGCCATCAGTCAGTACTGCGTGGTTGGGCCCACGCTCCTCGTCGGGACTGACACAGCCTTCATCTCCGTGTCTTACGGAATGATCCTTCGAGCTGTCCTGCGGCTTGCCGAGAAGGAAGCGCGCCTCAAGGCCATTGGCACCTGCGGATCCCACCTCTGCGTGATGCTGCTCTATTATCTTCCAGGGATGGCTTCCATATACACACAGAGCTTTGGCCAGGGGGTGGCTCGCTGGACTCAGGTTCTGCTGGCCGACCTCTACCTCACCCTTCCCCCCATGCTAAACCCGGTCATTTACAGCATGAGGACAAAGCAGGTGCAGGACGCAGTGCTGAAGGTCTTTGGGCCCAAGAAGGATCCGGTCTAAGGAGTGTGATCAGTTGTTCACCGGGTCTATTCAGCAAGGAGGCGATTCTGCCAACCTCACTCACACAGCGTAGCCACGACGGAATCACTGGGACTACTGGAGAAGTAAGGAGCGTCTCGACACGAGTGAGCATAGCAGAATCTGACTCAGAATAAGAGGCAGTTTCGTCTAATGGTTAGACCACAAGACTGGGTGTCAAGAGATCTAGGCTCTCTTCCTGGCTCTGACACTAATCTGCTGTGTGAACATAAGAACATAAGAACGGCCGCACTGGGTCAGACCAAAGGTCCATCCAGCCCATTATCCTGTCTACCGACAGTAGCTAATGTCAGGTGTCCCAGAGGGAGTGAACCTAACAGGCAATGATCAAGTGATCTCTCTCCTGCCATCCATCTCCACCCTCTGACAAACAGGGGCTAGGGACACCATTCCTTGCCCATCCTGGCTAATAGCCATTAATGGACTTAACCTCCATGAATTTATCCAGTTCTCTTTTAAACCCTGTTATAGTCCTAGCCTTCACAACCTCTTCAGGCAAGGAGTTCCACAGGTTGACTGTGCGCTGTGTGAAGAAGAACATCCTTTTATTTGTTTTAAACCTGCTGCCCATTAACATGGGCACATCACGCCACACACACACCCTTTCCGTGCCTCAGTTTCCCCTCTCCACCCTCTGTCTGTCTCGGCTAGTTAGACTGAAAATTCTTTGGAGCAGATATGTCATACTGTGTCTGTACAGTACCCAGCATAACCAGGCCCTGATCTGGAGTCTCTGCTGCAATACAAACAATGAATAATACTTATCTGCATAATATAAATTACATTTGGAATCCGGAGCAATGCAGAATCGTTCCCTGCAGTGTATCTGACAGCTTGTTTAAACCGCTCTAGTTAAGGTCACAGAACAGTGTCCATTGTGATCATCTGTATTCATGGTGCCAGAACTTCAGGGAACATGAACCATTTGCCTGCCACGAGGAGTGGCGTCTGCCTCGAGATGGGTTGGGGTTTTTTTGGTGAAGATTTTGACTGACAAGAGTGCAGCTGTGACTGAGTTTTGAGGGGCTTCCATTAGCAAACTATTAATAAAGGTTTCCATTAGCAAATTATCAGGCTCAGATCTGTTTTGGTGGGGGGGGCGGATAATTCAGAAACAGCTGAACTCGTATGCTTGACATTGTCCTGGTTCTGCGCAAGGTACATGACAATATTTGCATTTCAGTAGGCCCCAGAGGCCCCGATCAGGGTCCGCTTGTGCTACGTGTCTGTAACAGGGTCAGCCTCCTCCTGAGGACCCCTCCTAGCCAGGATGGTTCTGCAGTGCCTTGCCTCAGTTTCCCCTTCAGCTCAGGCCCCCTTAAGAACTGCACATCACAGACCAATGGTGATTAAAACTCTCCCTCTCTGGGCATCCAATTTATTTAGTCCCCACACATGGCTCCTCCAGGCCCCAACCCCAGGTCAGTGCTTCTCTCCCCTTGAGCTAGGAGCCCCCAGTCCTTGTTCCCGGAGCTGGGTTCAGTTCGAACTGTCATCTATCCTCCACAGCTTCCAGCTGCAGCTCCCCAGGCTTCTGCCCCGCCCAGCGCTCTCAGCCCTCCAGAGCTGGAGTCAACCCCTCGCTCTCCGTCAGACATCTCCCTTCTATCCCTAGGCCTGGCCTGGCTTTGTTAGTCACATGACCAAAGCCATCTGCCCATCTCGGGAGGTGAGCTGCTCCTGTAGAGGTAGCCAAAGGCCCCGTTTCCGGTTCAAGGACCAGCCACCCTGTGACAATGCCCTCTACACCCTTGAGAAGAAAAACAGTCCCTGCCCCAAAGTCCTGATGATCTTAGCACCCCACGAGAGACGCTGCATGGACCTTGGCCGTCAAATGCAGACGTTGTGACGGCTGGAAGATAAACCGTGGAACCTGTGCAGAAAGAAGCATTGCCGGCCGCCACGTTGTCCTCCTAAATAATTCCCCTGCCGCCTGGGGGATTGCACCTTTCAGCCACATGCCCTTGAGCTGTCGCTTAGCCACACTGTACAGATTTAGCTCTTTGAACCTTTGCTCACAGCGCCCCCCTCACCCTTAGTCACTTCTGTCGCTCTTCTTGGAGCTGCGTCTACATGTGATACCCAACTGAAGGTGATGGGATTCCTGGAATAGCCACTACTGGGTAAAAGTCACCACTTAAGTCCCATTAAGAACCTGGTGCCTTGGTCTTGTACTGGTCCCTCTGCATCAGGGTGAATGTCACCCCTAGAGAGGAGTTATATCACCCTGCTGCTCCGTGATCGTGTGTCTCATTTGCATGCCACCAAAATACCAGTGACTCTCTTCAGAGCGGTGGCATCATGCAAACTCATGTCTGGCTGAGGCCCACTGATGCCCTGCAGGGGCAGCTCTATGTATTTTGCCATCCCAAGCACGGCAGTCAGGCGGCTTTCGGCGGCATGCCTGCGGGAGGTCCGCTGGTAACGCGGATTCGGCAGCATGCCTGTGAGAGGTCCGCTGGTCCCGCGCCTTCGGCGTACCCGCCGCCAAATTGCCGCCGAATCCGCAGGACCGGCGGACCTCCCACAGGCATGCCGCTGAAGGCAGCCTGACTGCCACCCTCATGGCGACCAGCAGGCCGCCCCCCGTGGCTTGCCGCCCCAGGCACGCGCTTGATGCACTGGTGCCTGGAGCTGCCCCTGGTACCCTGGCCTGTCCATCAGCCATCCCTGGTTCCCAGGTTTTCCCCTCCACTCAGTGTGCATTTCAATGTATTGTCCCCCGGATGAAGCATGTGGGTTACATTGTCTAAGCTGGATTTTGTGGTAGTTCCTGGCTGCGTTTCCTAGTCACGGAGGTCCGTCTGCAATCACCGGTCAGCTCCGAGTGCACTCACACCCCAAGAACAGAGATGGCAGTTGGATTTGAACAGAAACACTGGGGAATCTCCGTCAGTGTAAACCTGAAAAACAAGAGAGAGACACCTGCAGAGCTCGAAACTAAAGGAAACAATGGACTGTCATGCCGAAGGGAGAGGGCCAGACACACTGAGGGGAGGTGTGTAGTGTAGCACCAGGTGAGGAGTCAAGAAGTCTTGAGTTTTAATCCCAGCTCGGCAATGGATTTTCTGTGTGACACAGAGAAATCTCTTAAAAGGAGAATTTCAGGTGTTTAGATAAGACTGTACTGAAGGATAGATAGATAGATAGATAGATAGATAGATAGATAGATAGATAGATAGATAGATAGATAGATAGAGGGGGTAGGGAATAGGTGGATACACAACATTTAGATTTTCTGCAAAGTTTTACAAAACTTCATGGCAAAATTATTTATTATTTATTATTTGTGCTGTATTAGCACCCAGAGGCCCCAGTCATAGAGCAGGGCTCTACTGTGTTAGATACCGTACAACAAGCCATAATAAACAGACAGTCTGTGCCCTGAGGAACTTCCCATCTAAGTATAAAACCAGAGACAACAGGAGACACCCATTGTCAAGTTTCCTGTCCGCCTCACGCCAAAGAAGAGTTTTAAGGAGGCCTTTGAAAGAGAACCACACGGTGGCTTTGTGCATGTTAACTCACTTTGCGTATGTACTTTAAAGCAGCAAAATAAATGTTTCCTGGTGTGTGTGGGTGGGTAGGTGTGTGTCTGTGTGTGTGTCTGTGTGTGTGTCTGTGTGTGTGTGTGTGTGTGTGCGCGCACACATGTGCAAACACTGAGTTTATGGTGAGTGCAGAGGGTCCAGGAATTAAAGCAGACTAGAAATAAATTCGTAAATCTATATTCATGGACCAAGCCGAAGGAAACATAAAAAGCAAACAAACAAATTGCACGCGGGCTGAAGCAGAAATTAGATTTTTTAAATGTTCCCAATTCTTGGTGAGTTTTCACCAATCTGGGTGCATTTTTTTTTTAGGACATGATCTCTGGAGTGACAGTCTCTTTGACGGGGGCTCAGTTTCCCCATTTGTAAAAGACGGCTCATCATGTAGGGCTTGAAGTGAGCTGCAGTGAGTTATTCCAGCACCGCCCGGGGAGAGCAGTTACTCCCTTCCAGAGCTACTTTTCAAGCTACAGCTATTGGCCTCAAGTCTGAACTGCCCCCGATATGCACTGAGCACAGTGAAGGGACGGAGGTACATCAAATTCAAGGTCGTGGTCCTTGTTCAATGGCCTGCGCCCAGCATCTCTTAAAGATCACCTCAAAGTCTGGGCTGAAGACCATGGTCAACAACTCAACTCCCCTGGCCCAATGGAACGCGCGACATTAAGGGCGAAGCGCAGCAGTGAGGGAGACAGAGCGTTCTTGTGGTCCAACCTGAGACTGTGAAACAGACTCCCCAGAGCTAAGGACCATCCCAAATTTCTCCCCCCTGCGCTCCTAGTGCGCAGTGCATTTCTTTGACCGGCCTCCTCTAACATAAACATGAAAATATGACCACGATAAAACACCCTCCCGCACACACTTCTTCTCCTGGGGAGGGGATGAGAACAAATGTGTGACAACCGTTAACGTAATGCACTACAGGAAGGAGCTCAGAGACTATGGTGCTGAGCCTGGTGTAAGACACTGAGTGGTGCAAGGGAGCCATTGATATCTCCTCAGTCCTATGGCCGATACAGTTCAGAGCAGCCTCGGGGCTGCTCTAAACACCACCAGTGGAATGTGGCCCCAAAGGTCCAGGTCCCCTGCTGGGGATTGCTGGAGCACAGTAACGTTCTGACCATTCTCCTTTCCTCCTGTCAAGTCCCCAGTACCCCCCATACCAAGGACTGGGAAAGGGGCCAGGAGTAGGAGCTAGCTACACTGGCTCCATGACACTCAGGGATTCCCCCACTCCTGAGGAATCCCCACATTTTAATCTACTGGTTTTTTGTCTCCTTTGTGCTGCCAGAGTAGCCCAAAAGGACAATATCACAGGAGAGACTCTCAGCCCTTCCAGTTTTGTTGGTTGTGAAGAAAGCTTGGGAGGGTGATGTGATGCAAGCCAGGGCTCAGAGGAGGTGGCTCAGC